TGAATGGACAAGGACCTACTGTACTGCATTCCTATTTTAAAAGCTGTACAGAAACAAAAAGGTACGTAGCCAGTTCCACTATTTATTTATTTATTTTGTTTGCTTTGTGGAACAGAGAGGAAAAAGTAGCTATTTTTCTCCTTTCCAGGTAAACTTGCATGAAAAAAGGTGATTTAATTATTTAAACAATGATTGTAATGTTCATTTCTTTATCAGAAGAATGAGATACCAGACAAGTCATGTTCTCAGAAGGGTTTCTGTCATGCCTCCGTAGGAATCTGAATCTGAGGGGCAAGATGAACAGCTGACAGACAGTAGGAGAGTGGCTCCGTTGGCTGTGGAGGAAACAGGGGAAAGGCAAAGTCAGGATGGGCAAAGCAGGGGAGAGGGAGAACAAGGGAGAGGAGGTTCAGATGAAGACCAAGGCCCACCCCCTCCTCATCCTAGGGTATGCAGGGAAGAATGCAGAAGAGAGCAACATGGATTGCATAGCTTATGAGGAAGGAATTCCCTTCACAAGGCACAATTGGAGATGGAGTGTAAAGGAGAGGCAATTGGGAGGGGTGTTTGTCATGAACAAACACTGAATTCATCTAATGTTGAGAGTTGTGGCCTGCATTCTTGGCATTCCTCCTGACCGAATTATTGCCATGCTTCTGTGTGCTTACCTTGCTGGAATTATTGCCATGATTCTTCATTTCTTGGACTCATTATCTTGCACTACTGGAGTGATGGATTGCAGTCATTCTACTTACAGTGTTTGGACTGGAGCATCTGCAGCCAGGGGCTGCTGCAGGTTCGTGGGAGAGCTTTTCTCCAGGCTGGAGAGTAAACAGGACATTGGGGGCAAAGTTGGAGCAAATAAAGGGACTCATACCTGTTCTCTGGCTGTGTTGCCTTCGTACCATGCCCAGGTCATCACATGTTTCTATAAATATGGTCAAACCTAAGAGAGGGATTATGAACCCCTAATGCAGACTTACATATAACATTGGATGACAGCATTAGAGCTATGAACTTATCATATTTACCACAGCAGCTACATTGAACACAGCCTGATTCTTTAACACCATCTAAAGCAATTATGTTCACCCATGGCAAAGTGAATAAATTCATCTCTTGCTTTTCAAAATATTATGTAGCATGATTACAGATTCAGTTGTATCTCCAGGCCTATTTGGTAGCACTCCAATCACGACTGATAAGGTAGCAAAAGAAGAAGTAGTGAAAAGGCTCTTGCTTGGAGATTTGCCTCCCACCTATCCCCTCTCTACATATAGTCATATCGATAGAAATGGGTGACTACCCTTCACTTATACCACAAATGTTTGTTTATTGTGTGACCTCTTCTTAGTTGGGTTTCTGTCAAGGTCCGTATGATATACATGTCATCTTTCTCTTTGTATTTTGAGTCTCTTGCCTGTGTGATTAAACATTGTGAAAATATCATAGGAATCACAGGATGGGTGGGGAAGGGAAGCTAATATTGCACGGTGTGCAAATGCTATGTTTTATAGAGAAATTGGCCTTCCCTTTCCCCCATCTTATTTCATTAACAAAATGTGGTTGGTATCCTGTGGGTTACTTTAAAATTCAAGCTTGATATTACTGGTTTATAACCACTGGGATTTCAGATTGTGCTCCAACTTTTTCATTTATCTTAGAATAAGGATTCCCAAGGAGATTTCTCAACTGATAAATAGAATTTATCCTTTTTGGGAACAGGATAAAAATGAAAGAAAATCTGGGCAGATGGTCTAAAACTCCTTTGAGTATTTAAAGTACTATAAATAGGATTAAAACAGATTCAATATTAAGGTGGATTTACTTTTGGAGACGTCTTCCTATACCTAATCTGTATCCAAATCTTCATGAAGACTATAGATTGCTAGTGAGAAAGGAAGGAATGGGAAGGGAGGGAGGAATGGAGGACAAGTTATGTTCATTTTAATTAAAGTAAGCCTGCTTGAATTGTTGAAAATTTCTTTCCACATATTTCTAGGGAATATCCAGTAAAAAATTTCTATTGTGATTTGCATTTTAAAAATTCATCTGGATTTCTTTGTAGAATACTGGAATCATAATGGTAATTTTGGGGTAAATTGTGTTGAAAGAGGGATATAAAAATATGTAAATATATTTACCATACATATCAAATAAATGAATGTATCTGTCTATAAATGCATTAATTGCAGGCTTCTTCCATTTTCTTCTGTCCATTTATTGTCTCAGATCATGTATTTTATTTCATAGCTTCACAAGAATCCAGCAAAGCCATAAAAACAGTGCAGATCAACACTGTTAAGAAAGAAATTGATTGCAGATTTAAGCTGGCATTCCAAAGTAGAATTAACATGTGCCATTGACATAGTCTTCGTGACCTCACTCCTCAGTACAGCATGATCTTGGATACAACTATCCACAGCAGTGCCAGAATATTGCTCTCAGAAATAACACAAATGTCAACATGATGAATGGCTAATTCTATAATGTTAACCCAAGCAAAAATTCCAAATGTGCCATAAGGATATCTACACATAATGCTTATGTCACCCTCTTTCTCTGTGTCTTCCCCCCTCTATTTCTAAAATCAGAACAACATTTAACTAATCTCAGTTGGATACACTTTATTTCTTCAAATGTAATTATAGAGTTAAAGATTCTGTATCTGTCTTCCTGAAAAAGGGCTGGGTTTTTTTTTTGCAGAGCCTTATGCAGTTCAATTAAACCATCCTCTTATCAGGTGTATTTTCATTATTTTACAATTTAATTGATTGCTCCTGAACTTTACAGCATTTTTATGGTTTTTCATTACCACTGCAGTTCATCAAGACCAGAATCTTTCAGCACCTGATCATAATAAATAAACAACTCCATGACTCTCCTTCCTTCCTTCCTTCCTTCCTTCCTTCCTTCCTTCCTTCCTTCCTTCCTTCCTTCCTTCC